GATCTCAATCCCTTAAGCCGCTCTTTATGTCCTTACCACCATCGCCGACACCACTGGCAGTCCATTGTGGGATGAAGTCTCTAGGTACACTTTTACCCTATCTCTTTCTCTCTCTCTCTCTCTCTCTCTCTCTCTCTCGCTCTCTCTCGCTCTCTAAGTTCAAGTCATCTCATGAGATCGAAGTTGAACATTACTAAACTGTCAATTTTTTACATTCAATTGTCAATCCCTGTCCCTTCAAAATCACAAAACAAGAGAACTGAATTTAGGTGTTTGAACATGTTCCTTGAAGAAGATTTGAGCAATACCCAATAGGCTTTGAACTAGAGTAGATAGAGAGACATGAATGTTAAGAGAGTTTCTCTGTTGTTTTTTCGGCAACCCTTCTAAGCAATTATTAAGTTGAAGACCAAACTATCAATTTCCACATTTCATAATCTTTGATAATTGCTAGTTAATTCAACACACTTTGAAGAAATATCCCCTCCCCCTACCCCCATCTCTCTCTCTCTCTCTCTCTCTCTCTCTCTCTCTCTCAACATCCTCTCTTGTTAAACATAATCAAGTCATCTCTTGAGTTTGAAGTTGAACACCAAACTGTCAATTTTCACCTTTGAAATTACACTTTTGCCGACCAAAGAAATTTTGGTCGCAAAAAAATCACTTTTCTGCGACTAATTTGAAATTAGTAGCTAAAAGTTATGACTTTTACTGACTAAAGTGATTTGGTTGCACAAAAATGATTTTTTGTGACTAGTTTGAAATATTAGTCACCAAAAATATATGCATGAAGGTGAAAAATTGAGCGGGAGACTCAAATCTTTTAGCGACTAATGGAATTTGATCGCAGATGTCAAAGTGACATCATTTTGACATTTGCAGTGTAACTTTGGCTGACCAACACTACTGTAGGAAAAAAAAATTAAAACAGATTCAAATCCTTATTATCTATGGGTTAGGATTTGGGTCTTGGTCACGAATCGAATTTGATAGAGTTGGTGAATTCTCATCCACTCGTGGCGTGAATTCGAGTATCTATGGTCTTCAAGTTATTGGAATTCAATCTGATTCGTACTCAGAGGAGGTGGGTCAGGATGTCAATTCTAGGGTTAGTGATGATGGTAAGACTGATTCGCTCGGGGAGGTTATGCCTCTCTTTTGGGATTGTCTTGGATTTAAGGAACGAAGAGAAGCCAATAATAACGAATTTGAGTGGAAAAGGGTTAATGAGGAAGGGAAGGGCTTGAGTGCAGTTATTGATCGAATTGAACAACTATCGGTAGCTTCTCAAGTTTCAATCAATGAGGAATCAAGTGATATTGGGGAGGAAGCTTCGCGGATTTCGAATGGGAAGTTCTTTTAGCTGTTCATAATTTGGATAGACTCCATGAATTGGACCATCACGGCGATAGTGATGGCATTTCGTATTTAGATGTTAGGGATGGTTATATATATGTGGTTGTGTACAATACTGTAGACACCCCATTTTTGACCGACCTTAAGACTCAGACGTCATTGATTGAGCGCTCAGTGATTGCGCATGTTAAGCTCGTTCTGAGGTTTCGGAGTTTTGACTGAGGTCCTTACCCTCGGACCTTGGGACCCTTTTATGCTTTGCCTCGATTTGCGGACCAGGTCTTGCTTTTTCTTCTCAGAGGGAGGGAGAGGTCTTGTAGACCATCTCTCAGTGGCCGTAGGCTACTTTTTCGTGGTCGCAGGCCGCTATTCCCATTTGGAGACCAGTTTCTGATTTTCGGAGCCGTCGGCTGCGCGCCTCAGTTCGGGACGACTTAACATTCTCCGTTTGGTACGGTTTTTGGCACACACCTTGTTTCCTCTGTTTAGAGGGACACTGCGGTCCGGGAGACCACCTTTGTGGTGGCACACCACTTTTGGTGCTTAACCGCCTATTTTCGAGGCACCCGGCCGCGCATTTTGCCCCTTGAACCCTCGTTTTGCATCGATGTCGGTTCATTTTTGGCATGAACCTTGTTTTCATTGTTTGGAAGGTGGTACAAGGGTGGGAGACCACCTTTTCTCTTGGAGACCACTTCTCTCTCTGCCAACCGATTTTCTTGTCAGGAAACTGGTCTCCCTAATTTTTGAGCAACATTTGCTGGTCTCCCACCATACCACTAGCTTGCATTCAGTTGGGAGACCATCAAATGGGCTGGCCGACCACTTTTCCTTGAGGGAGACAACTCACCCTGGTCAGCCGACCAGAGGAAGTGGTCGACCGACCACATTAACTGGTCGGCCTGCTCCCTCCAGTTTTGTCTCTGTGAGTTGTTGCCAATTGTGCCAGCTGGAAGACACATACTGCATCCTCCATACACGTGTATGGAGGATCTTTGGCCTTGGTTTTTCGATTCTTTGAGAAGCTTTGGCCTCCTTTGTCTATAAAGGAAGGCCTCCCCCTCCTTTGTGAGGGTTCATATTTTGGTTAAGGCACATACACATATCTCTCTCTTTGTCTCTATATTTAGGCTTAAGAAGTGTATTGTTCTTGACCCTTTTGCATCACACCTCATAGCCTAACAATTCCACCATCAACCCATGGTTCTTGCAGGTCATTTTCAAAGGTTAAGGAGCTGGGTTTTTGGTCTAGAAGTTGCTGTCTTTGTTGAGCTTCAAGGGTAACTCATTTTCTCCCTTTTTAAGCATTATTTTGATCCATCTCTTAGCCTCATTTGCATGCTTATTTGAAGTTTATTGTCAACTGAAAAAAGATTTATTTTTAAGCATTATTCATGTTTGTTTAAGGCCATTTTCCTGTTGGAGGTCATCTACCCTCTTGCATGCTTCATTTAGTCTTGTTTTGAGCCATGCCTTAAGGCCTTTGTGTTGACCTTTGATTGGCCTTTTAGCCACTGAAATCTAGTGGATTTTCAATGGTTGGCATGCTGTTTTGAGGGCCAAAATCAGAGAGGGGCGACCCTCTCTCTTTTGGCCTTGTTTGTTTGCATATTTGGCCTTTCCAAGGAGCCTATATTTTCATACTTCCTAGCCTTGGTTCAGGCTATTTTTAGTGACTTTTAGGACCTTCCTAGACTCTTTCTAGGGCTGGTTTGGTCACCTCATGTTTGCCTCTTGCATGTGTAGAATAATCCTCTTCATGGCTTATCAAAGGAGCATGTCATTCTTGCATGTATTGGTCATGTTTCAGTGGGTCTTTGGTCATTCTTTGGCATATCATAGCTCTAACTTTGGTTGGTTTAGTGGCCTCTTGAATGCTTCACATGCTTGTAGTGTAAACCATGCTCACTAGCTTACATTGCATATTGTTTTGGCCCTTGATTCTAGCACATTTTGGCCATGCTCTAAACTGATTTTGTTCATATTTTAGGCTACCTCAGCTCTATTTTTAGGCCTGTTGGTCAAATGATGCTTGTCATGCATGGTTGTAGTGTAATATCCTTGCCTAGCCTTGAGTTTTGGAGCCCCTTGCATGCTTAACTTGAGGTGTTTCCATGTCTTGGCATCATTGAGCATGTTATTTCATTGCACTATGTAATTCAGAAATGCCTTGTATCAGTTTCCATAGATTGGGGTTTTGTCTTTTAAGTTGCAAATTTCTGGTTGAATCTATGAAGCAGTCTCCTCTGTCAACCATGATCATACAAAAACCCTCCTCAATTCCTCGGTTAAAGCAATTCTAGTCTTTGAGACAGCTTAGCTTGCACAAGGTAGAAGCACATTGCACTATGTAATTCAGAAATGCCTTGTATCAGTTTCCATAGATTGGGGTTTTGTCTTTTAAGTTGCAAATTTCTGGTTGAATCTATGAAGCAGTCTCCTCTGTCAACCATGATCATACAAAAACCCTCCTCAATTCCTCGGTTAAAGCAATTCTAGTCTTTGAGACAGCTTAGCTTGCACAAGGTAGAAGCACATTGCACTATGTAATTCAGAAATGCCTTGTATCAGTTTCCATAGATTGGGGTTTTGTCTTTTAAGTTGCAAATTTCTGGTTGAATCTATGAAGCAGTCTCCTCTGTCAACCATGATCATACAAAAACCCTCCTCAATTCCTCGGTTAAAGCAATTCTAGTCTTTGAGACAGCTTAGCTTGCACAAGGTAGAAGCACATTGCACTATGTAATTCAGAAATGCCTTGTATCAGTTTCCATAGATTGGGGTTTTGTCTTTTAAGTTGCAAATTTCTGGTTGAATCTATGAAGCAGTCTCCTCTGTCAACCATGATCATACAAAAACCCTCCTCAATTCCTCGGTTAAAGCAATTCTAGTCTTTGAGACAGCTTAGCTTGCACAAGGTAGAAGCACATTGCACTATGTAATTCAGAAATGCCTTGTATCAGTTTCCATAGATTGGGGTTTTGTCTTTTAAGTTGCAAATTTCTGGTTGAATCTATGAAGCAGTCTCCTCTGTCAACCATGATCATACAAAAACCCTCCTCAATTCCTCGGTTAAAGCAATTCTAGTCTTTGAGACAGCTTAGCTTGCACAAGGTAGAAGCACATTGCACCATGTAATTCAGAAATGTCTTATATTGGGTTCCATGGATTGGGGTTTTGGTCTTTCTCATCAAACACTTCCCGACACATGTGTTGAACACTCATCCAAATATGTTCTACTATTTTTTTCTTTTTTCTTTTTATTTTAATTTGAACAAAATAACTTAAAATACAAAGATAAAAGAAAAATAATGTAGATATACAAAAATTAATGTTATTTTGCATTTCTTTATTATCTTTGAATAGTATATTCATAGTATGACTTCTAATAAATATATAAAACCATAAATTTTGTGTTCCCTCATGTCATGTAATGCAATAAAAGGATGTCTTTATCTGAAATGTGTTTTCAGAAGGGTGTTAAACTTTTTCTGTACATCATACTTGGTTATTCAACTGATTGAATGTGACATGGCTACATTGTCTAGTGGGTTGAATGCAATGTCTTTCGCAAATGTGATCAGTTATCTCTTCAAGAGCTATTTTCCGCAATTCACAATTCTTATTTCTGCTTCATTTTGCAGTATGCTCACCGCAGATGCATACAGAGGTGGTGTAATGAGAAGGGTGACACTGTGTGTGAGATATGTCAACAGGTTGGTAATTTCTTTTCAGTTCTGTTTTTGATCTCACAATTATGTTCATTTTTTTTAACAATTTAAACTTTATACACCGCTCTTATAAATCTTTTTGAGTATTCTTTAGTTTATTTGTTTATTTTTTTTATTTAATGTCAAATATATGTGAATTGCAGCCATACAAACCAGGCTATACAGCACCTCCTCCTATGTTTCAATTGGGGGGTATTCCAATGAACTTTAGGTAACTCTGATCTCCTCCATAGCCTCCCCTCGGATTCTTCATATTTATTTTCATAAGTTTTTGTTACTGTTAATTTGAGACGTGCACATTTTCTCCGCCACTGCAACATTCAAAAATGTTTTCCCATGTTTTTACTCAGAGGAAATTGGCATATTGTCAGAAGGGATGTGAATAATCCTCGCTTTATAGCAATGGTCTCAACTGAACGTAATTTACTTGAGCCCGACTATGACGACTACACGGCTTCTACATCAAGAAGCCTGGTTTGCTTCCGTATAGTTGCCGTAATTGTAAGCTCTCTCTCTCTCTCTCTCTGTGCACATGTGCAAGGTGTATATTTTCATTTCAAAGAAAATTTTGGAAAATTAAAATTTACTCCCTGCGGTTTGGTTTGAATTGCAAATTGGACATACTAAAGCAAATAAAAATTGTCAAAAATGCCCTAATCCCTCCTGCCATTTATTTTGATATGAGTAGGAAAAAAAATCTCTTTCGTGGACTCTGTTTAACTGTTTCAGTCTGATTTGCAGTTCACTGCACCCCATAGGGATAGGGATTATGTGTTTTTGGGCCAAACCATAGGAGGGTAAAATGTAATTTCCCCAATTTATTAACAGATCAGAAAAATTGATAAAAAGTTAATGCAAAGTTGAATGTAACAGAACATAATGAGAAACAAGGATCAATTTATTAACATAATGCAAATACAAGGATCAGATATGTTTATGGTGTCTTTGTTATCATTGTAATTTCCTTCTGTTCTGTGTCTAATTGAAAATTGAATATCAAAAACCCTTTATCAGATTCAAAATTAGAATAAAAATGAGAAACACATTTTACTAATATTGGTGAAACATCAAGTTACAAATCGGGAAAAAAAAATAAAAAATTAATACTGTTCAAACTAGAAAATTTTACGCATTACCATGGCTATTTGAAATAACCTTAACAGCTTCTTTCGTTTCTTGTCTGCAGTTCATGGTTCTTCTGATTTTACGGCACACTTTTCCCATAATAGTCAGTGGAGCTCAAAACTACTCTCTCCCATTGATCTTGGTAAGATAAATTGCTCATCTATTCTATATATTATATGAACTATGCAACTCACCTTGGCAAGGTTGTTATCTCACACACTTTCCATGCCCAAATCACCCTTGTATAACTGTTCAATTATTTATTTATTTATTTATTTTTGAATATATATATTTTCTTTTCAGAAAAACGGTTACAATCATCTTTCATTTCTGCACACGCATTGTGTTTGTGCACAGCCTACTAATATTATAAAACACATGCACACACAGAGGGGTCAAAAATTGACAGTTATAAGATTCCTGTGGTGTAAAATTAATTATTCGTTACATTCTGTGACAGTTGTTGCTTTTGCGAACTTCTGGAATTATTCTGCCATTCTACGTTATTGTAAGGGCAGTGAATGCCACCCACCGCCGCCGACGCCAACAGCAACAGGTGAATACATTGTAAATTAAATTAAAAAACCGTTTTTAACCTTTTCTCATTAAGAGATCATCTATCGTGACCATAAAACAAATTTACTTATTTTCTTTTCGGTGACCTTTAGGAGTCCCCTGACATATCAGATTCTTCTTCTGACGAAGAAACCGGAGGACTGCCAACGCTGCAGCAACAGCCTCAAGCTGTTCACGTTCACTAAATTTGGTATTTTCCACTTCAAATCGAAGTAATGCCACGCGCACTGAATCTGAAGAAAGTTTGAGTTTGTTTTTAAGTAAATAACATCATCGATCATCTGCAAATCAAATTTGCGATGGAAAGGGGAATGAGAAAGTGAAAGTGGTGTCCCATTTGAAGCACCCTTCAAGTTCCCAATTTGTTCTGTGTGCAGATTTTTTGTCTTCATTTTTCATTTTTTGTTTTGTATTGTTTTGTGGATGGTGCAGATTGTTGCTTTGGCTTCTGAAAATTTATGTGCAGTCCATATATTTTACTGTATATGATAAGAATTTATTGTTACAAGAATACAAGGCAAGCATTGAAATATCCTTTGGGCCTGTTTGGTGTTGTCTATTGAGGCTGTGGATGACTCATTTTTATTTTTTTTAAATCAGTTTCAAAATATTTGGTATATTCTTTGCTTAGAGCAACTCCAATATGACCATATATGTTTATTTTGCGGAACGGTCTTATCTTGTTTGTATTTCAATAAAATCTTATTTTACTTAATCATACAAACTAACTCGACTAATTTTTAAAAGAAAAATGGGCAACACAATGGAGGGAGGACATGTGTGGCTAGCATTGGACGTTAGCTATATGTAAAAAGCCAAAATAAAAAAGTCAAAATGTTAGCTATATGCAAAGAGCCAAAATAGAAATAGTCAAAACATCTCTGATGCAGAGGTTGTTGGAGGCAAAAAATGAAACCTTTAGTTACAAAAATGCCTAAGATGCTTATTTTGCCTCTTGTGTTTTATTGGAGTTGCTCTTACAACTTATGAGGAAAAAGAATTAATTTTATTATTTTGTAACTTAAAAAACAAAGCATCTAACAAGTATACGCATGGAGAAACAAGCTAAAGTAAGTCTTATTTACTTCTTCATATTACCTGAAAATATTACTTTGTTAGTGTTTATAAATTTATTTACATGTACTTATTTTTAAGAGGGATTTACGTATAAATCCTAATAAGTGGATTTATTATTCAACAGGTCCTATGATAATTGATGGTTTTCTTTCATCAAAAACTATTAAAAAAAATCACTAATTGTTAATTTTCAACGACAGTTTGAAAATTGTCACAAAAAATGTCACTAATTATAAGTTTTAGCGACAGTCTAAATATCATCACAAAAAAAGTCATTAATTTTCAACTTTCACTGACAATTTGAAATTTTTGTCATAGAAAAACATCACTAATTGTAAGTTTTAGAGAAAATTTATAAAAATCGTGACAAAAAAAGTCACTAATTGTTAATTTTTAGTGACATGTGCAAAAAATCGTCACAAAAATTAATTTTAACGACTATTTTATCAAGACTTATTTTCAATAGTACTTAATGAGAATTAAGTCAAACTACTAGGACTTATGGTGGTTTACCCCATTTTGTTTATAAGTAATTAACAAAGTAATGATTTTTTTGAGAAATATATATATATATATATATATATTAACCCAGCCAAAAAAACAGGGAAAAAAATAGTTTCTACTTCAATATCTTTTCTTATGTTGTTGTTTTTGTTAGAAAAATTAAACAAGATTTACTGTTAGAATAAAAAAATAAATACATATTATTATTAGAGAGAAAGATTAGAGAAGCCTGTACCGTGATCGAGGCATGCAAATTGCACTCTCCTTAGGAATGGTATACCCTCTTCTGCAGTGAGTTGAATGGTATTCCTCCCCTAAGATACAACGACCTTTGAAATCATTTGTGTGCAGCAAAGTGAATTTCAAGAACCTTGAATTGTCCAACATGCACTTTTAAACTCAATACAGCAAACTTACAAAGAAAATAAGTAGAAGAAGAGGAGGAGAATATAGACTTCTTTTTTATTGTATTTTAAAACAACATTCAAGTCTTAGTATGTACACAATTAAATAACAATAAATTAGATATTTAGGAAATTACTCACATATCTCATAACCACTCATAAACATTACCCACATATTTCATAACCACTAGCACATATAGCATAACCAAATACCCTTTGGCACCACTTTGCTCATAACCATTACCCACATATCACATAACCACTAACACATATAGCATAACCAAATACCTTTTGACACCACTTTGCTCATAACCATTACCCACATATCTCATAACCACTAACACATATAGCATAACCAAATACCCTTTGACACCACTTTGCTTATAACCATTTCTCACATATCTCATAGCCACTCATAACCATTACCCACATATCTCATAACCACTACACATATAGCATAACCAAATACCATTTGACACCACTTTGCTCATAACCATTACCCACATATCTCATAACCACTACACATATAGCATAACCAAATACCATTTGACACCACTTTGCTCATAACCATTACCCACATATCTCATAACCACTACACATATAGCATAACCAAATACCATTTGACACCACTTTGCTCATAACCATTACCCACATATCTCATAACCACTACACATATAGCATAACCAAATACCATTTGACACCACTTTGCTCATAACCATTACCCACATATCTCATAACCACTACACATATAGCATAACCAAATACCATTTGACACCACTTTGCTCATAACCATTACCCACATATCTCATAACCACTACACATATAGCATAACCAAATACCATTTGACACCACTTTGCTCATAACCATTACCCACATATCTCATAACCACTACACATATAGCATAACCAAATACCATTTTAACACATATAGTATAACCAAATACCCTTTGACACCACTTTGCTCATAACCATGACCCACATATCTCATAACCACTACCCACATATGTCATAACTACTAACACATATAGCATAACCAAACACCCTTTGACACCACTTTGCTCATAACCATTACTCGCATATCTCATAACCACTCATAACCACTCATAACCATTACCTACATATCTCATAACCACTAACACATATAGCATAACCAAACACCCTTTGACACCACTTTACTCATAATTATTACGCACATATCTCATAACCACTAACACATATAGCATAACCAAACACCTTTTGACACCACTTTGCTCATAACCATTAGCCACCTATCTCATAACCACTAACACATATAGCATAACCAAACACCCACACCACTTTGCTCATAACAATTACCCACATATCTCATAACCATTAACACATATAGCATAACCAAACACCCTTTGACACCACTTTGCTTATAACAATTACCCACATATCTCATAACCACTAACACATATAGCATACACTACAAGAAAAGTGGGATTATGAGACGGAGCTTTTTGCGACGGCACATTTGCCGTCGCAAAAAATGTGAACTTTTGAGACAGCACAACTTGCCGTCGCAAAAAATGTGCCTTTTTGAGATGGCACAACTTGTCGTCGCAAAAAAAAAATATGACTTTTTGAGATGGTACAACTTGCCGTCGCGAAAAATGTGACATTTTGAGACGACACAATTTGCCGTCGCAAAAAATATGACTTTTTGAGACGGCACAACTGGCAGCCGCAAAAAATCAAAAAACAAATATGACTTTTTTAGACGGTACAACTTGCCGTCGCGAAAAATGTGCCTTTTTGAGACGGCACAACTTGCTGTCGCAAACAAAATGTGACTTTTTGATTAAAATAATAATAATAATTTTTTTTCATTAAAATAAAAATAAAACAAATAAATTTTCAATCTATAACTAAAAAAAAAATGATTTTTTTTCAAAAAAAAATTCATTAACTACAAAAAAAAAAATTTATTTTAACAAAAAATAATTTTTTTCACGTTTTGTTGTTTAAATTTCATTTGTGACCGAATTTTTTTTTTCCCGTTCCCGCTGTGTTTCCCCCCATTTTTTTTGTCATTCCCGTTTTGTAACCCCCCAACCCAAACAAAAAATCCTCAATCTCAAACCACCCCGGCCAAAACCAAAAATCCCTAATCTCTTCTTACCCCCCTCTCT